CCCCGTGGAGTATGCAAAATTAGGCGGCGGAACGGGGAAGCAAACTCAAATATCGAGGTTTGCGAATTCTCAACCTTTTGGTAATTTCTCCTTCAATGATGCACAAAATTTGACTGGTATGACTAACTTAATTTGTGAAGAAAATCTGCCTTATATGTTTTCTGAAAGTCTTGCTTAAGATATTATGCACAAGGTAGTTTAAATCCTCAATTTAGATATTATAGTCGCAAAACTGTTAAGAAAGAAATAATAAGGCTTCATAATGCGGAAAAGGCAAGGTTACAAATTTTTTTTGCAAACTTTGATGGGCGTGTTACTATTTGTTCTGACATATGGGAGGATGATTTTCATCATTTATATTATTTGGGTCTGACTGCACATTATATTGATGAGGATTGGAATATGCATAAACGTGTTCTTGCTTTTCGTGAATTTAATGATCGTCACACCGCTGAACATATTTATATTTTGATTGAGCGTATTTTAATTGAGTATAATTTGATTGATAAGGGGTTTGCTATTGGTTTCGATAATGCTACTAATAATACTGCTGCTATACCTAGATTGCGTGAGTTGTGTGGTGTCAATACTTTGATGGGTAGAATTTTTGATCAATGCTGTGCATGCCATGTTATAAATTTATGTGTGCAAGACGGTTTAAAAGCGTTAGGAGATTCCATGGAGGTAATCAAGGGGGGATTAGACGTATTTGGGGTAATGGTCAACTTAGATTAAAATGACAAACTTATTTGACTGAAAGAGGTGTGAGATATGTTGCTTTTCCTAAAGATTTGAGTATTCGTTGGAATAGTACTTATAAATTAGTTAAAGTTGTTCTTAGATATAAAGAACGTAACATTTTCCTGCTTTTTTAAAACAACATGATAACTATATTATAAATGCGGCTGAGATCGACACTTGTGAAAAAATTTGTAAAGTTTTGATTTTTTTTAATGCTACTGAAACTTTTAGTCATGTTTATAAACCTACCGCAAACCAATTTATTCGTGAAGCTGTTAATCTCGCCGGTGCTTTTAAAGAATTTGAGAATGTCGTTTTCGTTCATTATTTTTGTGATTATATGAAGGAAAAGTTTTTAAAATATTATGCGCATATTCCCCATATTTATGGTTTTGCATTTATTCTCGATCCTCGTCATAGACTTGCTAATTTGGAAGATTGTTTCAACTTCTATTATCTTGCGTTTTTTGGTGAATTTCCAATGTAAGACGATAACCCCATAGATCCGAAAACGGAATACAACGAGGTTAGTGCTTTATTTTATGCCTTATTTAATGAGTTTCGTGCACAGTATAGCAACGCTCCCCCTCCCCCGTCACGAACATCTTCATCTAAAGGAAAATCGATTTTTAAATCTGCATTTGGCAATCTTATGAAAAAACAAAAACAACTCACGTCACTGAACAAAGTGCATTGAATGAGATTACTTTGTATTTAACATATGAAGTTGATTTTGAAGAAAATGATGACTTTGACGTTCTAAACTGGTGGAAGTCAAAAGAAAGAACGTTCCCGATTTTAGCACGGATGGCTAAGCAAGTACTATCAATGCCGATTTCAACAGTTGTTGTGGAACAAAAATTTAGTTAGGCCGGCAACGTCCTAACGGCATCTAGATCGAGATTGAGCGCGGAGTCTCTTGAGACGCTTATATGCTACCACGATTGGTTGAAGGCCGCACGTAGAACTCAAGAAATGAGCATCACCCCCTCCCAAGATTTTATGGATGACTCAACAACCGATGGTGGCTCTATCTATGCCGGAGATTCCGATTGATTAGTATTTTAGAATTTATTATAAAATGTATTTTGTAGCACTTGTCAAATTTATATATACTTGTACTTCATATTTCAAAATTGTAAACTTGTACTTCATATTTCAAAATTGTAAATTTGTAGTTGTACTTCAAATTAATTTGTAAACTTGTACTTCATATTTCAAATAAATATGCGTTCACTTTTTCATATATAGCACTTCTCAAATTAATTAATTGGTTACAAACTAACGACTTAAAATTATTTTTCTAAAATATAAAGCCGGTTTTTAAATTAAAAATACATTTACAATATGTAATTTTTTTAAATACTTATACACCTATTTTGTAACATTTGTAAATTATAAATCAAACCACTTTTCTAAGTACAAATAGTTTTACTTAATTCATTAAATTAATTAATTTATTTTACAATATGTATAACTTTAAAAAAAAATTGAAATAAAACCTCCCAAACGGCTATATAGCCGTTGGGGCTATGGGTGGGGGGCAGGGGGGTCCCGGGGTGGTGGTGTGGGGAGTGGGGTTCAAAAACATTTATAAATACATCTATTTTCTAACATTTTTCTACACCTCTTCTCCAACTCTTCTCCATCTTCATCTTCTCTTATTATCCTACATTCCTACAAGGCTACAATCCTACTTATACATATACCATTTTAAATATGGAAAGTACATCTTCCCTTATGCAAAACAATTTTGACAAGTGGAAGGACCCGAAGACCGGACTGTGGTGGGCAACTTGCAAGTGGTGCAAGAAAGAGTGTTGCTTGGGGCGTTCACACGGATACGGGATGCCAATAAAACATATGAAGTCCTGTGACAAAGGGAAAACAACAACCAACGGTGGCCGAAATCCCAATTGATATTCATTAGAAAATGTATTTTGTATTGTTATTTTTTTCTCAATTCTCAAATGTAGTTCCTATTTCAAATAAATGCACTTGAACTTTGTTTTTAAAAGAAATTTGTATAATATATAATTAATTTAAAAAATAATAAATAATAAATACTGGCCCGACCTGACCCGTGACCCGGCCGGGTGGCCCGGCCCGAACCGGAACCGGCCATTGCCCGGGCCGGTCCCGGGCCTACCTTGACCAGACCCGAGGCCCGACCGGGCCTTGGCCCGGCCCGGGCCCGACCCGGCCCGGGTCCATCACTACTCCAGCCCCGACATGCTATTGCTCAAGTTCACTCCAGCAACTCCAAACAATCTTGGCAGTAGCGCATAAGTGAAGATCAAAATTACAATTCCACTTTCAGCGGTAAATTCAGCTCCACATTGTGGTCCACCATTCTCATTTTTTAAAACTCTTGCTCCAACCAGATTTTTGTAGCAACTTTTGATCGAGAAACGACCATCCCTCTCTCCATTCTATCAAAAGCTATTTTCCTTGTCCATCACATTAATTGGAATTGGAATATTCAAAATCCTCTTGCCATCCTCTCGTGTGAAAAGAGATTTAATTCTCCCATCGCTCCCCCATGGTTTTTCAGAAGTCACACGACCGGACCCCGACCCCTGCAGTCAAACATCGGCCCAAACTTGGACTTCTGAACCATCACCCACCATTCTCCGAATATTCTCAAATACAACTTTCTGCGCTTTGAGAATCCTCCTCCATATATACGAGGGGTTACTTCCAAACTTCATTTCTAATTATTCTCTCTTTTCCTTTTCCTTCCCGCCCTGTTTCACCTGTTTGGTTACCTTACGGTAACAAATTCTGTTTTCTCCTACGATCTTAACCATCACATCATCGATTTTTTTTTTGAGTAAACATCAAGGAAATTAAAATGCACTTTTCTTTTATCATTTTTATACACAAAAATCAATCTACTGGTTGAGTACGTAACCTCTTCTAGCATAAATTGATGTAATTTAAGATGCTCCGCTTCTTCTAATACGTATTTAGCGTTAACACAAGTTACTCCAAACTTAATTTCTCAACTTAATTTCACAGTATGCAATTGCTCTTTCAACTACCCACGCTCTCAATGGTTAATGCACTCACATTCAAGATGTTCATCGCAAACATAATAAGAAGGCATATAAGAAAATATTATTGTAGTGGTAATTAATATTATTATTTAGTTATCTTCTTTTCCATTCTCATATCATATCCCGTCTCGATTTAAACTCCTCAATGAAAATGACATGATTATTTAAATAATAATTAAATAATGTAATTCGATTATATTTTTAGCCTAGTTAGCTTTTTTCCGTTTTAAACGCGTTTTAAACACGTACCGTTTTTTTGAGTAAATAAACACGTTTAAAACGACAAATAATGTCGGCCCGTTTAAAAAGGAAAAAAACTCATACTTCCCGTATAAACGTATTTTTCCCGTATTTTACAAAAAAAAAAAAACAGAAACATGAATTGATCGATTGAACGAATGCATTAAATGCATAGGAGATCAACAATAGTGTAAAAGTAGAAATGAAAATGTCCTCTTCATGATCTCGTATTTTTGTATTGTTATAATACAATTATTAATTACTAAAATTAATTGCATAATAGTTAAAGCTAGCACCCTAAAGGACTAAAACTTAAAATAGTACTCCCTCCATCCCTAAGTTCTTTCATAGTACAAATGACACACAAATTAAGAAAGTGAGTATTGTGTGGTGGAGAGTTGTGCATAAGATACAGAAATGTGTAAGAAATGTTGTAAACGACTAATTCTTTACCAAAAAAGGAAAATTGAAGTTCTTTTGGGACGAATGAAAAAAAAAAGTTGAAAGTTCTTTCAGCAATGAAGAGTAATAGATTTATGATGTTTTTTCAAACAAGCTATCAAAATTAAAATTTTTCTATACATGACATTTTTTATTAATTTGTCACTTAAAAGTGTTAATCTTTTCCTAAAATAGAAATGTGAAGGTTCTCATGGTACCTTCAAAAAAGAAAGTGAGAAGTTTAAACTAGAACGGAGGGAGTAGTTGTTTTCCTTCATAACTCATTATTTTCCTTCCCATGGGGATGTGTGCTCATGTTCTTCCTTGTTCAATAATATACCTTGCATGGCTCGCTTGTTCTTTTTTCTTGCGATAACTTGGCTACCCAGTTTACTTGTCAATGAGGAAAAGAAGGCTTTAACACATTAAAAACAAAAAACAAAAGCAATACTTTTCTTTGGCAGCACCATATTCATTTTCTTCTAGCATTTATAGATTCAACTCGGCCAGTTTAAATTCATACGAGCTTTGTAAAGCGTTCAAAGATCAATATCAAAGGTGAACAAAGCCTGCAGTTTCTGTTGCCATGGGTTCTCTCACTATTATTGCTAGAAATCTGTATTCAGTTGTGGGGTACTATTTATTTCCTTACAGTTAACTAACGTCCTGTATAGTCTCCATGCTCTTTAATCTTATGTAACTATCTTAAGTTTTCTAATTTTTTTATTTCGTGTGGGTGAACGCCAGCCCAGGAGTGACGCTTCTGTTTCCTCTGTGAGCAACCCTTTCTTCTCCCTATTATTTAATATCACTGTATGATAGATATTCAAATTAAAAATCAGGCAAAATAAGCAGTTGTAAGAATTTTAAGTGCACTGGTTTCCCTCGTGGTTATATCACACAGGTTTTCATCGATGCGGGCTATAGAAAGCCCTTCGACACTGGATGATCAGCAATGGCTGACCTATTGGGTTCTCTATTCCTTCATCACCCTGTTTGAGCTATCAAGTTGGAAGGTCCTACAATGGTAACACACTAACACCTCGTACATTTTACACCAAATGCACAATGCATGGAACCTGAACTTCAAAATCATCCTATTGAACACATTGGGATTTGGGGGTGGAATTGAACACCTTCTTTAAAACAAAAGTCTTCTTTTCTTTTATCCTTTGGAAACTTGGAATGCCTCTCCAAAATCTGACTCAGATGATAATTCGACTTGAGATAACCATGGGCATATTATATACATAGTAGTTCCCATGAGAAGAGGGTTTGACCTATAAAGCAAAATGGCTCACTAAACTGTCTGCGCTTCTTTGTAATGAAGCAGCAGTCAGTCCATGCAATTTTGGACGCGATTTTCACTACGGGTCATCCGGAAACAGTCTCTCTGTGCTTTAGTACAGGGGTAAGACTGAGTACATCCGACCCCCCCCTACCCCATCGTAGGTGGGAGCCTTTGCGGCACTGGGGTTAATGAAAATGAAAATGAATGAAATGATATATCTATACATTTTTCAGATTATATACTTGATTTTTCAATCAATTGAAGAATAACGCTCATTGAAAAAGTTCATGAGCACTGTCCGATGACAGAACATAAAATCAAACTATCAGAAGTTAGGTTCATTCATGGGCCCAAGCCTACAATTTAGGGTCTCCTGTTTCATATATCCAGGTTACCATTTTGGGCCTTCACCAAGCTTTTGTTCTGTATGTGGTTGGTTCTACCAAATTTTAATGGAGCAGCTTATATATACGAGAACTATGTGAAGAGATACGTAAAAGTTGAGGCAAAGTTAAGCTCAAACTTCCCAGAGAGACGGGAAAAGGCCATGGAGATGATGAGCCCTGAAGCGCAGAAATACGTTAAGGACTATATAGATAGAAATGGACAGGAAGCATTCGACGAAGTGATCAAAATGGTAAACTGAGATTCCAATACCTTTGGAGATACATTATAGAGCTTAGTAAGCCTGACATAGTATTGTAATCTCTTTGACGTGTTTTGCAGGCTTTATTAGAGGCAAGGAGAAAGGAAAGAGTGCAGAAATAGAATTTAGACTTTCAGTTCAAGAATGAACCCTGGAAATGTATAGTTGGGAAGAAATGTATATGGTTTGGTTTCTGAGAGCTCGGGTAGAAATTAGAGAGAATAATAGCAGAGCTCGGGTAGAAATTAGAGAGAATAATAGCATGTAAGGGGCTGTTGGGCGCAATCACAAAAATATTATTAATGCAAAAGCCATTTCGTGTTTAAAAGAATTGAAGAATTAATTCACAATGAGATAATCGACCTTGTGTTGGAATTAAAAGAGATGCAGCAGCAATACATATTGCTGCAATGTATGTACTAATTGTAAACAGTTGAGTGAGATGATCGACTTTTTGAATGGGAGTGATCAATCTTAAGGATAGCCTCAAAATTCTGGAAACATCTGAGCGCTCTCACCTGAAATTACACACGTAGTCCCAAATATCAAATACAAGCATGTCCAAGTTGCAAAGGAAGTTGAGAAAATTTTGATACAACAGAACATGCAATTACACAATAAGTAGCAGGGTGATGTTTTTTTATGAACAACTTTGCGAAAAAGTTTTGCTACTAGGTAAACCTTTCCAAGCTGCTTAGCATAACAAATGTAAAATGGGCCTAAATTTAATTTAGCACCCCCCCTCTCCAAATTCAACTAATTATCATATCATCTCTCAAATGTTGCTTCACAGGAACTTACTTGTCTATTATGTCTATTCAAGGAATTCAAGAAATAAGCAAATATACATGTCTAAGTCAATAGCGCTAAAATTGTTGATTCAGTGTGAAAATGGAATGAAGGGGGACACATACCTTCCAACGTCTTGCACGAGTAAGAATGTAATGAATTTCTTCCAACCTGGAAATTATTTCCCTGAAAGTTGGTCTCCTAGAGGGCATCTCACTCCAACAATGCTCAATTAACCTGATGATAAGGAATTACTCATTACTCATTAGGTACTCCAACATTCTAACCCGTGGCAAATCAAATGAATACATAAACTGCCTCTGTCCCTTCAAAAGAGTCATGTTTGACTAAGGTACACCTTTTTTACTTTACTAAAACATGATCCATAATTACATTTTTTTAATTTTATTTGTTGACTTAACTAAACTTATCATATGTTTCTGTGACCCATTTTGCATTTTTTACAAACTTATACTTCCCCTGTTCTTTTTTTAGTTGCAAAGTTCCCATTTCACGTTTGCCAACACCAAGTTCCCATTTCATGTTAGCCAACCCCAAAATCTTCTAGAATTTGGGCTCGGATGTTGTTCTTGTAGTAAAAAAATTGTAAATTTAAAATGGGAGGATTTTAAAAATATTTTTTAAAAATAAAAATGTCTAATACACTAAATAAATAAAATATATTCAAAGTAGAGGATGTGAATAGTGTGAAATTCAAAATGTTGCATCTATTTAAGAACGGAGGTAGTATGAAACAATAGCTTTGTTTAATCAGGCTGAACCTTTCTTTGGGCATAGGGATTAAAAATTCAAAAAGGACTCTTTTTGTGGAGGTGTGATCTACTCAGTTTGTCTAGTTTATCGATAGCTTTTTTAATCGAGTTTTTTTTTATTAAATTGTGTAGGAATGTAGGATTTATCAGTTTGTCTACCATAGAGACCAGGTCAAACTATCTGTTTCTAAACATGAGAAAAAATAGAGGACGTGGGGGATAAATTGAAAAACATTTTCAGATTTCTTTTTATTATTCATTTTATGTGATTTTATACGGGGAGATCATTCGCAGTTAGAGTACAACTTTCAGAATCAAATTTCATAACTGCCAAAGAGCTTCAAAATAAAATCTCAGTACAAATGAAAAATAAAGAGAACAAAAGAAAAGAAAAGAATTCATGGCATACTCTTTGAGTCCATGAGCATAAAGCTTCACTGGAGCCCTAAAGGGTGGGCGTTCATTGACAGCGTATGCTTTGGCAACATCAATTTCTGGCTTTGTTGCGTAAGGTGGGGAGCCTTCAATCATCTGTAAATTTATATCAAAAGATTAAGGTAGTGACCATGAGGTAAGCAAGTAACCTGGTCGTATTTCACAATTTACACAATGCATCAATCCAAACCAAAAAAAAGAATCTGACATCATTGACTACAACAACAACATCCAAGCCTTTATCCACTAACATGAATCGATCTATGATATCAACGCCAAAACGAGAAGAAAAATACAGAAATAGAAAAAGGTACGATAAAATGATAAGATAAAGATACATATAAGATAAAAATAACATAAGAACATAAGAAAGATGGAAAAAAGATGTTGCACCTCTTGCAGAATTAGTGCAAATGAGAAAACATCAACCTTGGTATCATATTCTTCATTCTTAAGAACTTCTGGAGCTACGTATCGCCCTGTCCAAGAACAGTCATTTAAAGAAAGAAATTAAGGTAATTAGTCGTGTTAGAATGATCAAATGGGGATAAGGATAACGGAAACATCAATCTGGTTGAACATCATCAGGTGCTTTAGATCATTGACGGTGTATAGAAGTTATACAGAGCAGACTTTTTAGCATAACAATATCTCTTAGCTCCATGCATTCTTTGCTTTTGTAACAATACTTTATTACATATTGATTCATGCTTGAATTAAGCTTTAACATGATTCCTAGAAGCAACCTAATATGACACAGCAATTGCTTGTATGATTTATCAGACTTTTTTCGACATCAATGCTTCACAAAAAAGCTATGGGATAACCAAGTACGGAGATTGCTGGAGAGAATACTTCATACATACAAGAAGTCTCCTGGCTTGTCAAAGGCTTGACTTCTTTTATTGCTTTTGTAAATTTCATAAGTTTGCTTAGTCCAAAATCAGCAACCTTTAGAAGTCCCGAGTCATCCCGTAGTATATTTCTGCAAAAATAAGCCTTGAAGAATTAAAAAAAACTCTGATTCTGTGCATATCACCACAAACCATAACAGGTAGTTCTATTAAGAAGAAATACCGTAAAGTAATAAAAAACTCACGTGGGCTCCAGGTCTCTATGGATGATTGCTTCAGGTTTATTTTCATGCAAGTAGTTCATGCCTCTGCCACAGCATGATTAAAAAGGATTAACAATGTAGAAGCGACACGAAATAATAGATATTAGACACTGGACAGCACCTTATTATTGTAATAGTATCAAATAAGGAATAGGATCTGTGTGTTCTTGAAGTCCATGTATAAAGCAATCATATAACATAAGGTAGTATATAAGTGAGTAGTTATGGAACAATATGCACAGTATATTAGATTAACCAACTGATGAGGTGATTAGGACATCGTTTCAACTCTACTTCAGACTGTACCACTGTAGGGAAAATTAATAATTATGCATATCAAAGCATCTTTCAATAGGCATAGATCATCATGCTAGTAAGAAACTCAACATTTTCCAATGTTTCTGCTAACCTTGCAATATCCAGTGCATACTTGACAGCCATTATAGGCTTCAGTGCACCTTTTCGCTTCAAGAATGCACGAAGATCTCCCTGAACACAGATACATGAATCTGGAAATGATTTGTTTGCTTTTGAGGGGAAATTGTCAAAACAACCAATAAAAACTCCAAAGAACCCCAATTAGGTATAATTTGGATGTAACAAGGAGTTTAAAGCTAAAACAAAATAGTACCTTGGGTAAATATTCTGTAACAATCATCATTGGACTACTTTGAGTAACGGCACCAAGAAATTGTACAACATTTGGGTGGCGTAGCTTCTGCAGTAATGCAAGCTCATCCCTAAATGCTTGCCTAATAAATAAAACGAAATAGGATCCAGGATTGTGATTCGTGAAAACTAAAAAGTAAAAATTACTGCTGGGCAGAAAACATGTAATATCACCATAAAAAGCTTATAACCAACCCACACTTTTTCTTCATCCATGAAGAGCTCCTCGCCAAATTTCTTGACAGCAACCTGAGTTCCCCCCCATGAAGCAATGCAAAATGTACCCTGACATGCATTTCTTAAAATGTCATCCAAAGCCAAAGACAATACAAAAAGCAACAGCAATAATATGAAAATAGCTGTGAAGTTGGTTCACCAAATGAGAAATGGAGGACACAAATATGAATGGAAACAAGGAGCAAAATTGCAATATAGCCAAGTGAATAAAAGAAATACTACAGACAGTATGCGAGTGGAATAGAGAAATGGGACATATGCACTCCTAACATATGACATGAACTAACCCTATTCTAGATTAGCTCTATTACATGGTACTTCACTACTACTTCCATATTTAATGTGATGGTGTTTAAATCATATCTTAATGTAAAAGATTAAGAGCCAAATCCTCTTCAAGACTTCAAATATCATATATTTCTCAATAACTTCTAGCCCAGTACCTCAGGATATTTAAGTATACCACTTCCTATCGTCTCTTGTGCCTTATCACTTCCGTGCTATCAAATGTTTATGTTGAATTCACCCAACCAGATTAAATCAATTCACCCACACACTTATCCTCAATGACCATCCCTTCCCATATGCATGCAAAGCAAACTCGACAACTATATCCAAATAAAATGAGAGCTTGAGCAATTGATCTGCCATACATGAAACTTAGGTTTTACCTTTGTTATACCCACACTATTACTGAAATCAAGCTCATGTGGATTAATTTCATACTCCGGAATTTCACGAGCATTTTGCACATGCATGGGAGCCATCTAAAATACAAAGAAACTTCAGAGGTTGAGATGACCACCACTCACGATTACATGAAAATAAACTAGAAGTCTAGAAGTTGACTTCTAGTTTAGAAAATATAGGTATAGAATATGTAAAGCATACAGGATGTTTTGCTCCATATGCCTCCAGAAGCTTGACAACATCATTATTATTGTAGTGCACTGCATCTGCAAGAGGCTGTTCAATTAAGTATTATCAATAAGTTATCCTTAAAATCTTCAAGAATCATTGTTTATAATTGTGCTATGCAATTGCGCATCATAGTGTGGCTCGGCTAAATCCTCGAATATGGCACAAAAAAGCATAGCCTGTAGCGCTGGGAGTGAGGCGTACACAATATTGCATAAGCAATACGGCGCTGTAAGGCGTATGCAATAGCAGAGGA